GTGTGTGTGTGTGTGTGTGTGTGTGTGTATACACACACCCATATTCATAGCAGCACTATTCACAATAGCCAAAAGGTGGAAACAACCCAAATGTCCATCAACAGATGAATGGATGAACAAAATGTGGTCTATCCATACAATAGAAAATTATTCAGCCTTAAAAGGAAGGGAATGAAACGTTACATGAATGAACCTTGACAACATTCTATTAAGTGAAATAAGCTAGTCACAAAAGGCCAAATACTGTGTGATTCCACTTCAATGAGGTACTTAGAGGAGTCAAATTCACAAAGACAGAAAGTAGAATGGTGGTTTCCAGGGTCCAGAGGAGGGGAAATGAGGAGTTAGTGTTTAATGGGTACAGAGTTTCAGTTTGGGAAGGTGAAAATTTTCTGGGGATGGATGGTGGCGATGCTTGCCCAGCAATGTGAATGTACTTAATGCTACTGAACTGTACACTTAAAATTGGTTAAAACGGTGAATTTTATGTTACATATATTTTCCTCTGGCTGGGAAGGAATAGGGCCAGGCCTCCTTGTTCCAAGGGCTGCGTCCCAGGCCCTCTGCTGGGCAAGCTCTGTGCAAGCTCCTGCAGGCACAACTATGTATTCTTTGCAGAAATCCTGGTAGGCAAGGCCTCAGGGAAGAGGAGACATCGGAGCTGGACAGCATGGGATGTGATATTTATATGAACTTCGTCTATTGGCTTAGTAACCCTCACACATGAGGGAATGAGATGTACTGAGGATGACTTGTTCTTTCTAGCTTGGGGAGTAAAACAGTGCCATCCAATGGATTCCAAAACAAATATTTTAACAAAAGATCCTACTGATGATATGTTTTATAACCACTTCGCATGAATTCTGAAAGAAGGTTTGGGCTTTCCTCTTTATAAAGACTTATTGACAATATAATTAAACATCAACAACAAAGATGTCCATCTATTACATATCCAGCTCTTGGTCCAAGTTTGAATGTGTGAGGGTGTGAAGAGAAGAATCATACACAGGAGTTATTAGTGATCAGTTTTACCATATAACGTATTTTGGCACTCTTGTCATGCCACTAAATACTGTTCTATAGCATCGTTTATGATGGTTACAGAATAATGCATTGTACGGACATAATAAAAACGAAATCCCTGTTGCTGGAAACTTAGATTGTTTGCAAGTTTTCACTTTTACTAACAGTGTAGCAGTGATTATCCCATATAAGCCCACATCATCTCCTTGATTATTTCCTAAGGATAAATTCCTAGAAGCCAAATTGCTAGATTAGGCTTTTGAATCAAAGTATACTTTAGAACGTTTGTACCAACTTGGTGTGAATGTTTGTACCAACTTGGTGTGTAAAATTAGCAATATAATTTTTTTTTTTTTTTTTTGCGGTACGCGGGCCTCTCACTGCTGTGGCCTCTCCCGTTGCAGAGCACAGGTTCCGGACGCGCAGGCTCAGCGGCCATGGCTCACGGGCCCAGCCGCTCCGCGGCATGTGGGATCTTCCCGGACCGGGGCACGAACCCCTGTCCCCTGCATGGGCAGGCGGACTCTCAACCACTGCGCCACCAGGGAAGCCCCAGCAATATAATTTTAAAGTAACTATTTATCCAAACATTTACCATCAATGGGTATTATAATTCAAATATTTATATCAGCTTATAATTTAAATGGCCTTTATTTAAATGTATTTTAAAATATATCTATTAGATTATTTGATTAAATTTGTAAGTGATTATTCTGGGCAATACTCTCTTCAAATAAATATTGAGCAACCTCCTCAAATAAATATTTGTACCAAGTTTATAATTTAAAATGGCATTTCATTGTTTAAATGTATATACATTTGATATAGTCATTTGATTATTTGATTGAATCTATATGTGATTATTAAGGACAATAATCTCTTATGATAGTCTCTTCACATCCTGTGCTCTTTGATAAAGAGTGCCTCAGCATTTGATTATTAAATATATTTTTACATTATATGTCATTTGCTTTATAATGTCACCCCAGTTTGTCACTAGGTTATGCTATTTTTTCTTTTACTATGAAAGTTTTTTATTTTTAATAAATCAAACCTAGAAATGTATTCCTTTGTGGTTTCAAGCAGTAATGATATAGCTATGGTCAGGTGAGTACAGAATACTGAAAAAGCTGTTGGCAGGGGCTACAGTCAGGGTCATGAGAAGTTTTCTAGACTCTAGAATCTGAAAGACTGAGCCTTTTCAGTCTTAAGACCTCCCACCTGGAATTCTTCTATCTGGTAAAGCACGTGCCTGCATCTTTTTCATCTTCAGTTGCCCTGGCTATTCTTGGCACTGTGTTCTCCCATACAAATTTTAGGATCACCTTGTCAGTTTCCTGACAAAAAATCCTGTTGGGATTTTTACTGGAATCATTATTAATCCTATAGGTATATTTGGGAAGAATATATTAAAAATGAGCCTTCTTATCCATGAACATGATATAACCCTCATTAATTTAGGTTTTCGTTAATGTCCTTCAAAAGTTTTATGATTTTCTCCAGAGCATGTCTAACATGTGTGTTAGATTATTCCCAGTTACTCAATATTTTTAAAAGCTATTGTAAATAGTATCTTTGTTTTTAATTGAATTTAAAACATTTTTAACTGATTTATAGAAATAAGGTTGACTTTTCTATATTGATTTTTGTGTCCAGCAACCTAACTAAATTCTTATTACATCTAATAATTTGTAGATACTTTCTGGTGTAGCTGTCTGGTGTTTCATCCAGACATCATAATCTGAGTTTTATTTATTTTTCATTTTTTAAACATCTTTAACTGATTTATAGAAATAAGATTGACTTTTCTATATTGATTTTTGTGTCCAGCAACCTAACTAAATTCTTACTACATCTAATAATTTGTAGATACTTTCTGGTGTAGCTGTCTGGTGTTTCATCCAGACATCATAATCTGAGTTTTATTTTTCATTTCTTTAAACATCTTTTATTATGGTATAATCTACATATCATAAAATCTACCCCTTTTAAGTGTACATTTCAATGATTTTTGGTAAATTTAGTGAGTTGTGCAGCCACAATAATCTGGCTTTAGAACATATTCATCCTTTTTATTTTTCCATGTCTTATACCTTTTTCATTTCTTTGACTCTACTGCAGTTGCTAGGGGCTTTGTGTAATTTTGAGCAGAAGTGAGAATGGTACTATGGCTAATTCCCAATCTAAAATGGAATAATGCTTCCACTGTTTTACCACTCAGTACAATGCTTGGTTTTTCAGTTTGTTTTGAGATAATCTGTTCATAAAGTTGCTTTCTAGCCCTAGTTTGATATGAGTTTGGTTTGGTTTTTAATCATGAATGGGATATTGAATTCCATCAAATGTTTTGTCTGTGTCTGTTGAGATGATTATGATTTTCCTCTAAAAAGGGAAGCTTCCAATTAGTCTCCCCACCATGGAGTGCACTCTAGGGTTTGTTTACTGTCCCCTGAGCTCCACCAGACTGGAAAACCAATGCTCAGGTTAACCTAGTCCAGGAAATTCCTTCCAAGAGAAAACTGGCTTCAAAGCTCCTCATCTTTACCTAGTATTTGGCCTACATAGTCTTTATTTTCTTATCAGTTCATGCGTCTAAGATTTTTCCATTTTATTTAGTAGTGCTAGTTTGTTTTTGCTTTTTTTTTTTTTTTTTTTTCCATAAGAAGAGTTGGTCCTCACCCCAAGTCCATCTTACAGCAGAAAACAGAAGTGGCCAGATCTTTCAGGTTCAGTACTAAGTATGTTTTGTAATCTGAAACTGGCATGAATGGGGTCTCTCTTGGGATTCCCACTGTCATCACACACGCCATCCTCAGAGAAAGGCTGTCCCCATGTCAAACTCTGCGAAAGAGTAGACAAAACCCCCTCCCCGGTTTTGGGGAAAGA